TGGGAGACTTTCTCTCTTTTTCTTTTTCTCTTTCTCTCTCTCTCTCTCTCTCTGCCTCTGCCTCTCAAATAAATAAATCTTAAAAAAAAAAAAAAGTGTTGGCTGGTGCCACGGCTCAATAGGCTAATCCTCCCCCTGCGGCGCTGGCACACCGGGTTCTAGTCCCGGTTGGGGCGCCGGATTCTGTCCCAGTTGCCCCTCTTCCAGGCCAGCTCTCTGCTGTGGCCCGGAAGGGCAGTGGAGGATGGCCCAAGTGCTTGGGTCCCTGCACCTGCATGGGAGACCAGGAGGAAGCGCCTGGTTCCTGGCTTCAGATCGCGCAGCGCACTGGTACAATTGCGCCAGCCATAGAGGCCACTTGGGGGGTGAACCAACAGAAAAAGGAAGACCTTTCTCTCTGCCTCTCTCTCTCACTGTCTAACTCTGCCTGTCAAAAAATAAAATTAAATTAAAATTAAAAAAAAGTGTTATTAATGACAGGTGGGACATGTACCTTATAATTTGTATAAGGAAGTAAAAACACAACTTATGATTCTTACAATTAAAATGTTATAAGAAAAACCACTACTATCCTAATTGGAGCATATCCAAGCAGGTTCAGGTAAGCAAGAGTTTTAATCTTGCTTTAATCCAGAGTTAGGAACATGCTGATTGGGTCTGCAGCCGCCAGTGTTTTTTTATTAGACCATCAAGCAGGCAAGTGGGAGAGCAGCTGAGGGCCACGTGGCCGCGCCGTTCTGTGGGTGGCATCGAAGGAGTGGTGTTCACACAGTCCCAGAGCCCTGCTCCCCGCGGCTTTGCGTCGTGCACACATTCAGCATGCGCACCTTCAGTTGTCCCAGCCAGGTTTTTTTTTTTTTTTTTTGACAGGCAGAGTGGACAGTGAGAGAGAGAGACAGAGAGAAAGGTCTTCCTTTTTGCCATTGGTTCACCCTCCAATGGCCGCCGCAGCCAGCGCGCTGCGGCCAGCGCACTGTGCTGATCCGATGGCAGGAGCCAGGTACTTATCCTGGTCTCCCATGCAGGTGCAGGGCCCAAGGACTTGGGCCATCCTCCACTGCCCTCCCGGGCCACAGCAGAGAGCTGGCCTGGAAGAGGGGCAACCGGGACAGAATCCGGCGCCCTGACCGGGACTAGAACCTGGTGTGCCGGCGCCGCAAGGCGGAGGATTAGCCTAGTGAGCCGCGGTGCCGGCCACCAGCCAGGGTTTTAAAATAGAAAAAGAGAAAACCCCACAATGCTCCCAGCACCGATGAGCTCGTGGCTGCAGGAGACAGGTGTCATTTGCCCCTGGCAAGTCCCCCAAGAAATGGGAGAGTCCTTTTGTAGCTGTTCTGTTCACTAAAAACTTGTGAGACCTGTGGCTCAGGTGGCACAGTTAATGCTGGGGTCAGGGGTGGGAGGCGGCTCTGTCTACATCCTTGCGAAGAAATTGAAGAAATGGGAGAGAGTAATCCTGGGAGGTGGATGGCGACTAGAGGGGAGACTGGGTGAGCAGGCCACCTTGAAATTGCGCTGAAACGGCTCAAATTGTACATAGAATGTCACTGCTGGGTAAAACGCCGGCATGGACTATACCGTTGTTATCCATGCCATTTGTCTATACTGGAGGAGTCACGGACACAGAGGTGCGTGCACCCTATTCCCTGGCCGTCCAAGGCATTTTCCCTCTTAGGTGTTATCTTAGAGCTTGTTCCCTGCCTAGACAGTGGCTCTTCCTTACTGAAATCTCTCTGCCTTTTCCACTGCCATGTTCTTCAAGCCCGACCAGCCGACTTGCCCCAGATAGTGTTCTCATCTGCTCGTGGGAGGAAGCGGAGAATGCTCGCTCACGCCCACACCCCGGGCACTGCCCCCGACCCTTTCTTTCTTCATACCACACAGCGCGTGGCAGTTCATGTCCTCTGTTCTTCAGGGGCTAGGGGGGCACCTGCTCAGGCCCCATCCTCGGAGGAGGAGGAAGTCACCATCAGCTGGAGACAGGGGCAGGGGCACAAGAAGTTCATGGTCAAGGCAGTTGGGCTGTGTGGCCTCTGTTCCGTTCCATACGTTCCCTCTGTGACCTTGAAGTCTCTCGACTTCTCCATGGCCTGACCTCTGCTGAAACAAGCACAGCTTGGAGTGCCTAACTCCTAGGCCCCTTTCCAGACTCCACATTCTGTGTTTAGAACCATCAAAGACAGTTACGAAGCATTTGCTGTATACGCACAAGACATTGTGTGGAAGGGGGTGCTGGGAAAACCCTGCCCTGCAGGAGTTTAGAAATTCTGTATCTGGTCTCAGTGACGGCGTGGGGAGCCCAGTGTGGAGGTGTCTAGAGCTGGGGTCCCCTGCAGTCACCCTGTTGTTCCCACCCACGGGTCAGATTAGCAGTAGCTGCTCCCTCCAACGCAGGGCCTGCTTCTACAAAGGGCCAGATCGCCTTGGTTTTGGAGCTGTGGAGTCTGTGTCATACGTACTCTACTCCGCTGATGTAGCAAGTGCAGGTGTAGACAGGGTGTCGATGAATGGACATGGCTGTGTCCTCATAAAGCTTTATTTACAAACACCATTTGTGGACACTGTTCTGCAGTTGTTAATGGGTTAACACTCTGTCTTCTCTTCTAGAATGGTTGCCCCACATGTGCAGGGTCTGTGGGCGTGGCCAGACTCAGGTCTGCACCTGCAGAGATCTGACTGTGGGTCCTGTTGTTACTGGGCCCCCCTCCCCCAGGAGGAGCACTCAGATCCTCCTCTAGGGAGTTATCAGCTGCCAAGGATTTCCAGGGCCCCTTTGTCTGCAGGGACAGGAACTTCTGCCCACACAGAGGCTCTTTGATTGAGGTTGACTCCAGCAAAGCCAGCTGTGCCCATTTTTGGAAATGTCCCTAAGGGCCTCACCTTGTTCCTCCGTCCCTGAGCCTCTGGAGTGTTCCAGGCGGAAAGAATACTGTCTGGATGTGGCTCTCGGGCTTTGCTCTGTTGGCAGAAGGCCCTTGGGGTTGCACAAGGCAAGAAGTCAGCCCAGGAAATGTTCCTTGTCAGGAATAAACCAGCCGTGTGCCCTCTGGGTACTGGAAGTTGCAAATGTCTGGTCCTAGAATAACATCCACCTGAAGTCCTATTTGGGTATAAATAAATCATTTTAAGTCCTGGAAATGGGGGTTTTGGCTCCAGCCAGGACCTGGGCAGCCCGGGCAGTTGTGCAGACTGGCAGCTCAGCGGCCGCACCTGGGCTCTGTGTGTTTGCAGGGAGGGGTGATATCCAGCCCCAGCTGGACAGCGCGCTCCAGGACGTCAACGACAAGTACCTCTTGTTGGAAGAAACGGAGAAGCAGGCGGTGCGGAAGGCTTTGATCGAGGAGCGCGGCCGCTTCTGCACCTTCATCTCCATGCTGCGGCCCGTGATCGTAAGTGGTGGAAGGTTCCCGATGGCTTAAGCCGCCGTGTGGAGGAGGCTTCCCCTCCAGCCTGACCTATCCACACGGAGACACCGAGTGTCCGCTGTGCACCGGGAACCGTGATGCTGGGCCCGGGATTCTCCAAGCAGCTGATGGCCATGCTGCCGGCTCCTTGTTCATGGTTCCTAGCGCACCTGTTCCACTTGGCTTTTTCTCCCCAAGTCACTGAGGCCTAGTGCAGCGGTTCTCAAAGTGGGGTCCCCAGGCCTGGAAACTCGTTAGAGATGCAGGTGCTTGAGCCTAACCCAGACCCGTGAAATCCAGAACTCAGGTGGAGACCCGGTGCCCTCTGCGGGGTTTTGAGGCTGGCTAGCGGAGCCGAGCACCGTGGCATGACCGGGAGGCAAACACTGGAGGAGTGTCGGGGAGCGGGAGCAGCTTCAGTTATTTGCACACTGCAATGCAGCTTCTAACACAAGCTTTCGGCAGCTGCTAGGAGGCCCCAGCTCACTTCCCTGACTGGGGCCTGCCTTCGAGTTATTCCCCCGAGTGTAGACTTTTTCCCTGGGTCGTGCTTGCCTAGGCCCATGGTCCCAGCTCAGGTCTTTGCTGAGTGAATGGAAGGTTTCTTCATAGTTCCCTGCCCTGTCTTACTTGCCACTTGGTGGCAAAAAAAAAAAAAAAACAACACAAGAAGGGGGCTGGTTAGCCCCTGTGGAGCACACATGCGTGAGTACTGGTGCAGAGATCGGGACAGAACATCTCGTGTCAGCCACTGAAGCCGAGCCACTGCGGAGGTGGGTCAGCACGTGGACGGGGCTTGTTCGGTTAGACCACTGTGTGCAGTGGTAGTGTGGGCACCACCACGAGGCCCATGTGTGCACTCACCACTGTCTCCCATGCACAGATCACGCCACGGGATGGGGAGATTGGCTTATTTTTATTTTCCAAAAAAACCATTTTTCTAGTACCCTTCAGCAGAGACCCGCTGGGTGCCTTTTGTGAAAGTTAAAGGGGTTATACAGTGAGCCTAATAAAACCGGCTGGGGCAAGAGAGCGAGGTGAATCAGTCGTGATAATAACACGTTCTGAATTCCTTGCCTTCAGGAAGAAGAAATCTCAATGCTAGGGGAAATCACCCACCTTCAGACTATTTCGGAAGACCTCAAGAGCCTGACCATGGACCCCCACAAACTGCCGTCCTCCAGCGAACAGGTAGGAGTCCTGGGGTACACACTCAGTGGGGAGCGAATCACAGGTAGATGGGCAAGGCCCCGATGTTTCCCCTCACCTTTTGCAGCATACGGTGAGCATCTCAGCCAGTACCCTCTACGTAGCCCCATCTCCCCTATTATATTATGGACCGTTTACATAAGGAGGATGCTGGGGCACTGAGGTGAAGTCGCCCAACCAGGTTCATCTAGGTAGTGAGTGGTGCAGCTGGGGTGTGAACCAAGCCTTCAAGGTCCAGAGCCCCCTGCCTTCTAGAAATAGACCCTCATGGGACCATGAGCCCGTGTGCTCTGGCTGGCACCGTCAACTTCTCCATTTCTCCCCTTCCGGTGAACTAACACGTGAGGATCTCTCTTGTCTTATGAAAAGACGACTTTTGGAGTGCTCTATTCACTTGCTTTGTGTGATGTTACCACGACATCAAGAGGGAAGGGACGTATCTGGGGGGACAGTTGACGAATCCCATGCTGGCTTTAGCCCCTGTGTGCAACTCTGGCTGCCTCCATTTGGGAAGAAGGTATATTTGGAGCCTGTCGTTCCTGTTCTGTGGAGCTGCTCTTACCAGGCCAGAGCGTCGTGCATCCATGGGGTAAACAGGCATGCCTGAGTGCCCGTATGTGAGCGGGAGCTGGCCCTTGGTCAAGCCGGGCAGACAGACACGGCAGTCCTTTGAACAGACTGCCTTGCTCTTGATCCTGTGGGGTTTTCAGGGTTCTAGTCCTGTTGGACAGGGCACAGTGACCAGCGAGTCTCCAGTGGTTAAATGCAAGATCCCCTGGCCCAGAAACCACCATCACCCCTGTGCTGCCACAGGACGGAAGTCTTGTGGCCTTGGGCGTGATGGTTCCTCTGAGTTGTTAATCAGCCACTGTGATCATCTCTCTCTCTCTTTAACTGATATTTCATGGTTTTCCTTTCCCTCCCTGCCCCCGCAACAAATCAGGAGTTTTACTTGTCTTGGATAAAGGGATTATGACATTGAAAGATTGGGAGTGTGGTTCTTAGATTTGAAAAAGTATTTTTTTTTAAAACTTGGCAGTTTTGCTTTGATTCCCACCCACCACGGTGGCAGCCTTTTGATGGTACGGTGGGCACTCGAATTATTTGGAATATTCTGGAATATTTTATGGTACGATTTCAGGAGTCCTGTTTCCCTCTCAGCACCTCACTCACCCAGCCGGCTCTGTCCCTGCAGGTGATTTTGGACTTGAAGGGTTCCGATTACAGCTGGTCGTATCAGACGCCGCCCTCTTCGCCCAGCACCACCATGTCCAGGAAGTCCAGCGTGTGCAGGTGAGTGAAGCCGGGCTCTGCTGCGCGATTTTCCCATGCTGCTGTGAGCCGTGGAGCCAATCTCTGTCCCCTAGAATGGCTCCTTTTAAGCAGGAAATGGTGAGATGATCGATAGCTCAAAGAACGCCATGGTCATCTCAATCCCATTCTTTGGTTTCTGCATGAATTTTGGATCAGAAAGAAACCTACATTAGGAGCAGTGCAGTGGTCCTGATGCTCCTTGGGATGCCCACATCCCGTATCCTGGTGTCTGGATTCAAGTCCTGTCTTCACTTCTGATCCAGCTTCCTGGTGGGCACCCTAGGAGCAGTCTGTGATGGCTCAAGCACTTGATTGAGTTCAAGGCTCCTGGCTTCCAGCTGGCCCAACCCCAACTGTTTTGGGCATTTGGGGAGTGAACCAGAGCATGGCAGGTGTCTCTCTCCTCTCAAATAAAATATGTAAATCTAAACAAAACCCATAAGCCCATAAACTGGTGGATGTAGCTTGCTTGCTCTCAGTTGCACTGTTAGGGGTTTTGTCATTTTATAAAATCTCATTTGATTTTTCTGCTCAGCAGTGAAAACTGAAAGAACTAATATAGGGTGCACACGGGGGTTCTTATCTGAGCTGATCTCACTGTTGCCAAAACAATTGTCCTCATTTCCCCCCAATTTTGTCTTGCGTTTCATAAAGTAAATGAAGTTCTTGCTTTGTCAGCCACCGTTACCACGACCCGCCACCACCACTGTTAACTAATCTATTCCCTGCTAAAGCACAGGCAGAATTATTTGGAATATTTCTACCAAATGCAAAATTGCTGTCTAGCAGTTTTCTTTCAGAAAGACATTCTTGGCTTGCTGACTGGGAAAGTTTTTTTTTTTTTTTTTTTTTTTTTAAGATTTTTTAATTTGAAAGTCAGAGTGACAGCCACACACACACATACATCTTTTTTTTTTTTTTTTTAAGATTTATTTATTTATTTGAAAGCTTTACAGAGAGAGGTAGAGGCAGAGAGAGAGAGAGAGAATGGTCTTCCATCCATTGGTTCACTCCCCAAATGGCCACAATGGCCAGAGCTGAGCCAGTCTGAAGCCAGGAGCCAGGAGCTTCTTCTGGGTCTCCCATGGAGGTACAGTGTCCCAAGGACTCAGGCCACCCTCTGCTGCTTTCCCAGGCACGTTAGCGGGGAGCTGGATCAGAAGTGGAGCAGCCGGGACTCAAACCGGCACACATATGGCCGGGGCTTTAACTTGCTGTGCCACAGTGCCAGCCCGGAAAGAGAGAAACAGGTCTTTCATCAGCTGGTTTACTTCCCAGATGGCCACAATGGCCAGGGCTGGGCCAGGCTTAAGCTAGGAGCCTGCAACTCATCTGGGGCTCCCACGTAGGTGGCAGGGCTGAAGTCCTTGGGCATCTTCCGCTGCCTGCCCTGGCATATTAACAGGAAGATGGATTGGAAATAGAGCAACCAGGGCGCAAAGCGGCACAGCCTAACACCCCCCCCCACACACACACACGCACGCACATACACACACACAACGACAGCTCCCTTTCTTGATAGATGGAAACAGCATCGTGCATCATCTTTCTTGGAATACTATTCCTGCTAATATTTGTCTTTGACCTTTGAAAGCCTAATGAATACAAGCTGCCTGTGAATTGGCGCTGGGAGGAGGAGTGGGAGGTGCCGCCAGGTCTGTTTATGGCGGTGTCTGTACACAGAGTGCACGTTTCCTCTCGCACTCCAGCTTGTGCAGTAGATACTGAGCAGGATCCTTCAGGTGCTACCTCTTGGTGCTGGCGCTGCCACGCTGGTGAAATCCCATATTGGAGCGCTGGTTCAGCCCGGCCCAGCCCCGGCCCAGCCCCGGCCATTGTGGCCATCTGGGGAGTGACCCAGCAGATAGAAAACCTTTCTGTCCCACCCTGCTCTGTCAGTCTGCCTTAAAAGAAGATGGTTTGATGTCCTGTGCCTTGAAGATGAGGGTTAGTTTCTCGTCACCTTTCATGGACTTAATGTGTGTTTGGTGTAGATGACAAATCTTGTTTTTGTTTTTTTTTTCCCCTTGTAGCCCCCAAGATTGCTCTTACTAGCAGGGGTGTTTTTTTCTTCTTTATAGCCTTAGTTTGAGTAGAAAACCCTGTTGCCCCGTTAGTGTCAGCTATGAGCTGGCTGGAGTGGAGTTGCTGGGAGCGACCGTCGGTCCCCAGATGCCCTCTTCTGGCCACTTGGGGGAAAAAGCAAAAATCAGGATGATTGTCCCGGAATTGGGGGGGGGGGGGCAGTTAGTGATTTCCTCCCGTGCGTTCTCTTCTGTTTGAACACGTGCAGCAAGTTGTTGTAATGTAGAACAGACACACAGCCCTTGGCTATGTTATAACTGCCACGATTTGCAAAAACACAGTGCCCAAAGGGTTAGAAGCAGAAACCACAAACTTTCAGTCCCAGACTGGGTTGTTTATTTCTCCCTTCGGCTGCTGCTCTGGGACTCTGTTCAGTTTTCTGGTTTTCATAAGCCGAGTTATATACAGAGTGTGGAGCACATGTCTTACAAGTGGAACTGGAGTGCGGGCAGAACAGCCGGGGGGTGGGGGCGGGGTGCGAGTTGTTTTTCGACAACCTGCTACGGTTCCTCTTGTCTGGAAGCAAACAGCTTCCTGTGGATTGCCTTTGGTTGCCCCAAAGCTGCCGGCCCCTTACGAGGTGTGCCGAGTGCCAGGCCCACAGACGTTTTAGCAGAGAAACACCTGGGGTCACGGTAAAGCCACAGAGGCATCGGATCCAACAGGCGCCCAGAGACGCACTGAGCGGATTGGCTGATTCTTTACAGTGGCCTTGGCCAGGCTCGCCCAGGGCATGGCCGCCTTGGGAGGTCATCCCTGTGGTTGGCTTTGCTGACCTTGGTCATTGCACCCACTCCGTCCATCAGGGGACACCCTGACCAGCTTTGGTGGGTTTTGCTCCAGGGTCATGGTTTTGCAAGCAGATGAGCAGACAGGTCCGTGCCATCTGTCTTCATGTCACGGACAGCTGCTCCCCTGCTTCAGCGGTGGGTGCAAATGGCAGAGTGGGCAGCCCTTGACTTTCCAATCCCACCTGCAGTCCTGAGGGTGCCGCACCGCACCGTCAGGGACCTGAGTTCCAGCTCTCTCTTGCTCATCCGAACAAACCTGTGGTTCACTAGCCCGAGAATGCAGTGTTTTCTGGTCTGTGCTGCTTCTCTGAGGCCGAGAGCTGACTGCGTTGTTCCTCCTCCTTCACCCTCTGTTGCCCGGTCCCCTCCTTCTCACCACTGTCCTCCTGTCTTTCCCCTGGTGCCCCTCTGCTTGGCGCCCACAGCAGCCTCAACAGTGTCAACAGTAGCGACAGCCGGTCCAGCGGCTCCCACTCGCACTCGCCCAGCTCGCATTACCGCTACCAGCAGCTCCAACCTGGCGCAGCAGGCCCCGTGAGGCTGTCCAGCGTGTCCTCCCATGACTCAGGGTTCATCTCCCAGGACGCCTTCCAGTCCAAGTCGCCATCCCCCATGCCGCCGGAGGCCCCCAACCAGGTAAGTGTGCCCTGGCCGAAGGACTGTGGCCTGGACAGCCCCGTGTCTCCTAACTTGAGACAACCTCAGGTGTAATGTGTTCTTCCCCAAAGAGGGCCGTGCTGCAAGTCGGGTTTGCAGTGCATCCCTGTGGTGGTAGTGGCTGTGACTGCGCTGATGAAGGGAGCTCCCACGCAAGTGAGGCCGGTGTGGCCCCGTCCCTGCCAGGCTCAGGTGCTCATTCACGGGAAATGGCGCAGTGGGGATGTCCCCTCTCCCCCATCTCGGGATCTCCCCGAGCGGCTGGGGTCCCAGCGTTGCATAGTGGTTCATACTCTCAGCTTCCCTCTCTCAATTCATGTTGAGCCTGAACCCAAATCACCAGACCCTGTTTGGTGGCAGTTTGCGGTGTGGAGTTGGATGGTGCTAGGTCCAGCCCCGCCCGTACTCCCAGCTGTAGCAGAAAGCGGGAGCTGGGCCCAGCATCAAAGCACCTGTCATGCCTCCTGGTGTGTCTGTGACACCACTCTGTCCTCCCTTAGGACTGTGAGTTGTTGGCCTGGGGCTTAACCATTAAGCAGCACCACATAAAGAACTCTGCCCCACAGCGCCACCTGCTGGGGAAGCAAAGCCAAGGCGTCACGTTATCTCCTGGCTCAGAGCTCCTTCTGGCATTTTTCGGCATCCTGGGTGGACTGTGGCATCAGCCTCTTCCTTGGCTAGAGACTCACTTTCACGTGGAAGCCCTCGAGCCGGGCGACACTCCCTGGTTTTCACGTGCTTGTCCCAGCTGGTGCTTTGACGGTGTCTCAAGCGACCCTGCCCCGCCGCCCGCCTTGCTGTGTGCTTCACTAAACCTCACTAAACCTTCCCTGCTGCAGCTCGCAAGCAGAGCGGAGTGGTCGGCAGAGCAGGAACCTGCCGTTCCTCAAAGCCCGTTCTAATGCGCGGCCATGTCTGGGTTTGACAAATTAACATTGTGCGCCGCACCCCTTCTCCCCAAAGACAGTGGCCAGACCGCCTTAGTGATCCCCAGGGAAGCAGAAGGGGACCTGCTGGGATTTCCTGAAATCCCAGAAGTCCATGCCCAAGAGAGCCCGGGCTGGCGACTCCAGGGTGTTTTCCAGAAGCCTGGGGACGCTGCAGAACTGAGTGGAGAATGCATTTATTTATTGATTGATTTTTAAAGAAAGCACTATAGCTGCTTGTAATTATAAAGGAGAGGGGCAGTGACATCCCCTCTATTTTAAGGGTGGAGGAAGGGAGCGCCAGGCCCCCTCATCTCCCCCCTCACCCGGCTCAGCGGCGGCCAAGGGATGGAATTTGTTTCAGCTGCTCCCGTCTACGCTCTTCAAGTCCTGGCTTTCCTGAGAGCCGTTCTCTCAGGTTCCGTAGGAACACTGAGCAGAAGCCCAAAAGCTGTGCACCTGCGGGCCGGGCTCCTGCTCCTTCTTTCCAGTCCAACATCTCAGGTTAGAGGAACGGAAATCACCAGTGCTGGGGGGCGACTGTAACAATGTATAGTCAGGTTAGCTCCACACAACACATATTCACCACTTAGTGAGCTTCAGTGCCGTCCCATTGATCCCCACTGAAACCATCCTAAACACGCAGAAAACACTGAGATTTAGCAAGCGTGACGTGTGCAGTGCCTCCCCAGGAAGCAGCAGACACGGGACTTGCACCCAGCCTTCAGACTGTCCAAGAATTTGAGCAGACACCCAGGGCCAGCCCGTGCAGGTGCGCGAGGGCCGCCACAGGCCAGGCTTGGTGACAACAGCCGTGCACAAGGCACGGATCTGTTCCTTGGGGAGTCCCCCACGCTCACGGGGCCACGTGGACATGGCAAACATCACTCACGGGACCATATAAAATGAGCACCTTAAAAACGAGCCCGCTCGGGATCTACGGAATTTTTGCGGCTGGCCTGAGGTTGCCCTGGCAGGGCCAGACCCAGTGGTGTCGCCCGCGGGCTGGGTCCTCGCTGCAGCTCCAGGGCTTGTCAGCGTCTGTGTGGCTGCGACTCGGGGGGACAATAACCCTAACACTCTGCTTCTCTCATCTTCCCTCTCCCGTGTCGGTGTCTTTCTCTCTGCCTGCCCCGCCCCGCGCCTGTCTGTTTCCTCCCCTGTGTGTGCTTCGGCTTCTGTTCCCGGTGCGCCCGTGCGGCCCCCTGCCCCACTGCAGAACTCGTCCAGCTCGGCCTCCTCGGAAGCCTCGGAAACCTGCCAGTCAGTGAGCGAGTGCAGCTCCCCGACCTCGGTCAGCTCGGGCTCCACCATGGGGGCCTGGGCGTCCACCGAGAAGGTGACCGCGCGCGCACGCGGGGCGGCCGACACTCAGCACCTGCAGCCAGCATGGGCCCCTCTGGGGACTGGGGGGCGGGGGCGGGCCAGGACGGAGGGCTGGGGAGCGCTGGCCGTGCATCCTCCTGAGGGAGAGGAGGGGTATGGGGAACTTGGAGGTGTGAAGGCTCCCCCCCAGATCAGGCGTTGTGTGCTCATCCACCTGCTGCCCTTCCTCAGCCAGCCCACCGGCTGTGGCGTCTCACCGTGTCGGGCTGTGCGCTCCTCTGCCTTTTAGATCGCACCCTCCCCACCCCATGCCCACCCTTGATTGCGAATCTGTTCCCGAACAATCTCCTTGATTTTTGGAAATCTAGAATGAACAGATTGATTTGAAGATGCTTCCGGATTTTTGAATTTGCCTCACGAGATGAGCAAATCGATTGCTTTTGTTCGTTTAATAGCAAGGAGTCTTAAGAATGTTGGTGGAAAATGAGTATGATGACAAATGTATGCACTGGGCTTGGTGCCCAAAGAAACTTTTTGTTTTCATTCCACTTTCCTGAACGCTTTGAAGTTGGCTCTCCGTAAGAGAGCCACAGAGCAATTTCCAAACCGCTCTAAAATTCCAATCAAGGATTTCCTCGGCACCCCCGTGCCCGCCTGCCCTGCACCCTGGCTCCCCCTCTCGCATTCCAGCCCATCCCCGAGCACCTTTGTTCCACGTATAAATATTCAGGGTTCCCCTCCCTCGAATGTCAACGCCATCTTATATCTCCGCACTCATCCTGTTGTATTAATTTTTTTTTCCCTTTTCTTCCCTCATTTTGTTTTGTTTCCAGTTGTCTAACGGGTTTTCTCACTGTAGTTTGTCCAGTGAGTCCCATGTGGGGCCCGTGGGCGCAGGCCTTTTCCCTCCCTGCCTGCCCGCCTCCCGGCTGCTGCCCCGGGTCACCTCTGTCCACCTTCCAGACTACGCTCATTATCACACCATTGGGCCCGGCATGTTCCCGTCATCTCAGATCCCTAGCTGGAAGGTTTGTGTCTCTCCTCCCTCCCACCTCTCCCCTCACGGCCTTGTGCTCCTCCCTCTTCTGTTCCCCAGCCCTCCCCCCCCCGCCCCCTACCTCTCACACTCTGCCTTCTTCCCCATAACGCCTCTCCCTCCATAAATTCCCACTGGGGACAACCAAACAGCAGCCAGCAGCTCCAGAACCTGTTGCCCATGGAGTGTGGGACGGGGGAAGTCTTCTGCAGGGAGCTCTGGTCAACCCTGATAGGCAGCAGGCCCAGAGTGCACTGCAAAGGGCGTCGGGTCCAAGTTCAAAGGCCCGGTTCTGCAGCGAGATGAAGTCCGGGGGCCGCTCGAGGGGGTCGCATTATCAGAGAACCTGTACTGCCCTCTGCCACCGTGTTCTACAAACTTCTGTTAGCAGGTCACGGTAGCAGAACCAGAACCCCAGATGGGTCTTGGAAGATCCTGTTTTATGCATGCAGACTTGCAGTTTTGATTGTTTGCATTAAAATGCACGTTGATAGACAGTTTTAAAACGATCTTCTGGCGGGTTCTGTTGGTGCACCTCTTCAGAGGCCTTAAGGCCACTCCCCTGAGTGGAGGTTCAGCGCAGGGAGGGTGGCTGACATTGCTCTAGTGCCCCCTGGTGGCCACTCCTGTAACGGGAGTCCCTTAGCCGGCTCTGGGGCTTGTGGTTCCTTAGACAGAAGGGTGGAGCCGGTCTCTAGGACCTGTGCCTGGTGCCACAGCCCGTGTGAGGTGCTGGTGACTAGGAGTCTCCTGCTGCCTGCCTGGTTATTGAGGGCTCTTAATCTTCAGGCAGCAGTGAGGAAAAGTCCCCCGGGGGCCCCCAAGGGTTCTTCCACCTCCTGCCTTTGGAGCTGGGTGAGCGCGCGCAGAGAGAGCATCCCTCCGAGAAGCCGCCCTGACATGGGCGGCCGAGGCCCTGGCTGCTGACCGTGCTTGTTCTGCTCAGGACTGGGCCAAGCCAGGCCCCTACGACCAGCCCCTGGTGAACACGCTGCAGCGCCGCAAGGAGAAGCGCGAGCCAGACTCCAATGGAGGAGGGCCCGCCGGTGCGGGCGGCCCGCCGGCGGCTGCGGACGAGGCCCAGAGACCGCGCCGCATGACCGTGTCGGCTGCCAGCAGGGTGACGTGTTCTCTGTTGCTGGTGGGGGGCCGGGGCAGCTGCAGGGACTTGGGTGCCGTTCGTCCATTTTCTGCTCTACAGCCTGTAGGAGACCCTTGGGGAAAGCCTTAAATGGGGAATCAGACATGTAGAACTTTCTAGAACTTTGGGTCAGGCCCAAGCAAGGCAGGAGCACCCTGGGCCATTGACCCGTGGTGCTCCCAGGGGCAGAGTAGGGCTGTTGGCGGATGGTTCCGGGAGTCTCACACCAGGGGTCTCACGGCTGGGGGCTCCTCTGTGTCCCTTCCTGTAACCGCAGCCTGGTGAGGAGATGGAAGCTTGCGAGGAGCTGGCCCTCGCCCTGTCGCGCGGCCTCCAGCTGGACACCCAGAGGAGCAGCCGGGACTCCCTGCAGTGCTCCAGTGGCTACAGCACCCAGACGACCACACCGTGCTGCTCCGAGGACACCATCCCCTCCCAAGGTACGAGGCGGCCTGGGGCTCGCGGCCGGGCTTTCCCGGCAGCGCCCGGTGAGGAGGCAGGAAAGCCTGTGCGTTGGGACTGCTTATCCCAGGTGGGCTTCAGAACCATCAGGGAACCTGGACCTGGAGAGTGGACCTGGAGGTTTCTGGTAGCTGTCGTGGGAGAGAGGGGCGTGGACTTCCGCTGCTGCTCTCATTTGTCACCATCAGGGTGATATGGTGGCCACCAGCTGGAACTGGGAAGTAGGCTGTTGACAGCAGTGACTCCATTTTTGTTTCTCATCACTTTGTGCTAAGTACTTTCCCATTGAACTTTCTCAACCCTTATGGGACACTTTTTTTTTTATCTGAAAGACAAGGAGAGGCATAGGGAGAGAGACTGACAGATCTTTAGTCCGTTGGTTCACTCCCCAAATGGCCACACATCCAGGTCTGGGCCAGGCCAAAACCAGGTGCCAAGAACTCCATCCTGGTGTACCACGTGGGTGGCAGGGGCCCAGGCACTTGGCCCTTCCCCACTGCCTTCCCAGGTACAATAGCAGGAAGCTGGCTCGGAAGCAGAGCAGCTAGGACACAGTGTGCCAGCATCGCAGGAAGCAGCTTAACCCACTGTGCCACAGTGCTGGCCTCTGGGAATAAGTTTGTTCATCCCATTTACAGCTACGGACGTTGGAGCTCAGGAGTTTGTCAGTTAGAGGTGGAGTCGGATCCTAAGGTTTGTTAGAGTCTACCCCACAGGCTCTTAAGACAGTGAGTCGCCCTAGAGGGTGACCTTGTTCTCTGGGGGCTGCTTGGTGACATGTGGAGGACTGGAGGGGCTGCACATGGAAGGTGGAGGCCAAGGACACCAGCGGGCACCCTGTGAGGCCCAGGACAGCCCCCAGCGCCCCCCGCAGAGGGTCACCAGAGTTCTGCAGTTGAGAAGCAACACCATAATACAATGTTTGATGTGCGCTCCCCCCCCCCACCCCCACCCCCGGGTCACCTGGAGATGAGTGCTTGGCCATTTTCTTGGGAGTAAAGGAGCACAGGTCCCGGATGGAACCCATCCTTCTCCCTTGTCTTCAGGGATTCTCTGCCAGTAGCTCTGGGTTTTGTTTTCTTTTGTTTTAGATTTATTTACATACTTGAAAGTCAGAGTTAGAGAGAGTGAGAGAGCGAGCACACTTCCATCTGCTGGCTCACCCCCCCCAGATGGCCTCAATGGCCAGGGCTGGGCCAGGCTGAAGCCAGGAGCTTCATCCTGGTTTCCCAGCGTGAGTGCAGGAGCCCAGGCACTTGGGCCGTCTTCCACTGCTTTCCCAGGCCATAGCAGGGAGGTGCTGGGGAAGTCGGGCAGCCAGGACCTGAACCATTGCCCACATGGGATGCTGGCGTCTCAGGCAGCCCTCTCCGCTGCACCACAGCGTCGGCCCCTGCTCCGTTCCTTTCTGGCCCTCAATTACATATCAGGGAGATGATGGGGCCTGTGCTCGTGGGACTGGATTTTTCTCCACGTTGAGCTCTGGACTGGAGGGTTTGTAGAATCTCTGTCCTCTGCCATCCTCTGTGCCCAGAGCCACTGGGAGGTCTGGCACTTCCACAGCCTTCCTCACTCCATGGTGGTGCTCAGGGCACGTTCACAAGGAAAGCAGAGAGGGGACAGCACGGAGGGCTGGGGCGGCCGGGGAGGAGCATGTGTGTGTTGTCCCCTCCCCTCTCCCACCGAGGCATCAGAAAGCTAAGCCCGTGCCTGGATGTGTCTGACCGCCCTGCCATCAGTTTCAGATTACGATTATTTCTCCGGAAGTGGTGACCAGGAGGCTGAGCAGCAGGAGTTCGACAAATCCTCCACGATTCCGCGAAACAGTGACATCAGCCAGTCCTACCGACGCATGTTCCAAGCCAAGCGCCCCGCCTCCACTGCCGGCCTCCCTACCACTCTCGGACCTGCCATGGTCACCCCAGGGGTAGCCACCATCCGACGGACGCCTTCCACCAAGCCTTCTGTCCGCCGGGGCACCATTGGAGCTGGGCCCATCCCCATCAAGACACCAGTGATTCCTGTCAAAACCCCCACTGTCCCAGACCTGCCGGGGGTGCTGCCAGCACCCCCAGATGGGCTGGAGGAGCGCGGGGAGCACAGCCCCGAGTCGCCATCCGCGGGCGAGGGCCCCCAGGGTGGCCCCAATGCGCCCACCTCCATGTGGAGCGGCCAGGCCTCGGTCAACCCTCCACTTCCAGGCCCAAAGCCCAGTATCCCCGAGGAGCACAGACCGGCGATTCCGGAAAGCGAGGCCGAAGACCAGGAGAGGGATCCCCCAAGTGCCACGGTCTCCCCAGGCCAGGGCGCAGAGAGTGACCCTGCAGAGCTGAGCCCGAGAGAGACTCCGCAAGGAGAAGATATGCTGAACGCCATCCGCAGGGGCGTGAAGCTGAAGAAGACGACGACGAACGATCGCTCGGCCCCCCGCTTCTCGTAGGCGCTCTTAGGCTCGCAGGGAGGGGTGAACTCTTTCATGAATACAAGCCTAATTTGTCTTGATCCATTCCAATCTATAATCAAACAAGATATTTTGTAGGCAACTCAGAATACAGCTCTTTTGAAAGTACCCGACATCTTTAGATAAGAATTAAAAGCAACATATGTAACTGACATAATCTTGATCTTTTAATTTGTAAATATTGACAGTTTTCTTTCTGCACATTTTAATCTTAGTTTCCCTTTTGATTTTTCTGAAGGTGCCAAATTCCATTTAACTTTTTTACAAGTCTTTGTAAAATTTTAAATGCATACGGGGGAGGGGTGGTTGGGGCAGGGGAACCAATAAGTAGTTAATTTCAGAAAAGGATTAATATACTCGGCTCTTTCTTCTTTTTCTTTTCCCTGTAAGCTTTTGTAGATGCATTGTAATAGTCTAGCTTAGAAGCAAACTCGAGTTATTTTAATGTACAAACAAAATGGCTAAGGGGACGCGTCCCCACCTACCATGCGCCGTTCTGGATGGCAAGAGCAGGAGGAGCGATGACGAGCAGCACAGACAGGAGCAAATCTGGAAAAGGTAGCCTGTTGGGATTGGGGGGAGGGCCGTGGGAGGGGCACACTGTCAACATAGCCGATCCCGTTCCATTTAAACTGTAGCCTCGTAGCTTGACTTTCTAGTAGCTTTCATGGTAAATGCATCCAAATAAGCCATACTGGATTGCCGTGTTTGTTTCTGTAGGGTGTTTAAGGACTCTGTTCCGCCACGCTTCCTCCCACCCCGCACACAGCACCCACCTCGTCCCCAGCATGCCGCGCCGCCGGGTACACGTAGTCCCCCGCCCCCCACTTCAGTTCCTCCTCTGCTGTACTCACTTTCACGGAATCACACATCCAAAAGGGTAAGGCAGTTTAAAACCACGAAGACACTTACACAAACGAGAGCAGGGAATTCTTAGATAGAGTAAATGCCTTTACTTAGCTGTGCCCAGCAGGCTGGGTGCATTGAAAAGCCCAAATATTAAAAAAAAAAAAAAAAAAAAGAAAAGAAAAAAAAAGAACAAAGAACTCAAGCGGATTTAACAAGGGTAGCCAGCGTGGAGTCCGGCCACTGGCCAGTGTGCTTACGAACCTGGGGGCTTGTTTTTCGTACCTTCCTCTGAAGGGATGGCAGTTAGTTGGCTTCATACTACACACTGAAGACAGGATTGATTTATCATCACTGGGAATCCGCCCATGATCCCGTCTGGGTTGTTTTGGTTGTTGTTGCTGTACTCTAGGTAATTTTTTTTTTTTTTGGAATGGAGTTGTCTTTTCTTCTTTAAGTGGAAATCTGTTATAATGCCCATCCCCAAGTCAACAGAGATCTGTAGGTTTAAAGGGGCCCTGCGTGGAGCAGCCGAGCCCCCTGCCGGTTTCTGTTGGCTCTGATTGTCACTGACATCATCTTGTGCTTTCCACATCACCTCACTGGACGCGAGAGGCACGCACCTGTACAGCCGTCGTTCTGTATAGTAACGCTTAACCTGCTGTGATTGCTCAAGGGCATTTTCTGTTCCGGCTTTAAAGCAAAGGCATGATTATTAGGAACTATTTAAGCGTTTTTTTCTTTGAAAAACAAGCTCCTTTACAGACTATAAGCAACAGTAGTGCCTGTGGTGTAGCCCGCCAATCTTGATGACTGAAAGTAGCTGATGCATTGTGCATATGATGCTGGAGGTGGTTTCTGCAGAAGCAGAAATCGCCGCAAGGTAATTACAATCGGTAAAAGTGGTATTTTAAACCTTTGGAATAAATGGATGTAACTGTACCTTGGTACAGCTTCTCACTTGTTTAGTTTTTAAACGTTAGTATAATCTGAATAAATTTAATATAAAATGTTGCCAAATTCAATGTAGAAAGAATGTGACGAAACACCTTGGGTAGTTCTGTTTGTGTTTTTGCATATTGTAAAAGCAGTGTCACAGCTGAAAATAAAGAGATCCTTTCTAAAGGTAAATTATTGTGGTTTAGTTGCTAGTTTGTACTGAGAGTTGACCTCTCCCTGTGCAGTTTTTTGTTCTGAACTTGTATAAATAACGATTGTGTACTGTGTCTCCCTTCTACATTGTAACAATTGCTTCAGCCTACATAAATAAAGAACCACTAGAAAAAGAAAGTGCCCTGTATTTCAAGTCTCATTAGAATTCAGTAGTTTGAGGTCTTAGTCAAAACTCAGAAGCTGGAGACTTATTTGGGAACTGTCTAACGGCGTCCGCCACAGCTACTTCGGAGCCCTAAGAACGCTACTTGATTGAACTGAGTTGAACACAATTCTGATGAGTTAGGAAGAACGAACAGCCAGTTTGGGCTGAGTTTTAAAAACTGCTTTCCCCTTTAAAAAAATAACTTGAAGCATACCAAGAGTTCCACTATAATCTTACTTTTGAGTCTGGAAATAATCCAAGCTTAGTAGAGGGAGCAGAGCTGTAGGTGTCATCCCCACACTGGACTCTTCAGCCCCAGAGAACTCCATAACCCCCCAGTGTTTATTTGCTCACTCTGTGCTGCCTCGGGAGTTGTCCTTTTAATAAACACGAAAGCTCCACTGGTGGAACCTTTATAAAAATCAAAGTGCTATCTTAAGTTCTCAGTACTTCTCTTCTTGGCTCTATATACTTCTTCCAGCCACTACAGCTAACAAAGCCTTGAACCCAAGAGTGTTCAGCTCCATGTTCAGAGTGAATCTTGAATCTGGTTCTGCTGTAGTTTATGTATGTATCTATTTATTTATTGAAAGGCAGAGATAGGAGAGCAAGCGAGCTTCCATCTGCTGGTTCACTCCCCAAATGGCCACAACAGCTGGGGCTGGGCCAGGCTGAAGCCAGGAGCTTCTACCTCGTCTCCCACAGGGGTGCTGGGGCCCAAGGACATGGGCCATTCTCTACTGCTTTCCCAGGCCATCAGCAGGGAGCTGGATGGGAAGGGGAGCAGCCGGTACTCAAATCGGAGCCCACATGGGAGGCCCGCACTGCAGGCAGAGGCTTAACCTACGCCATAGTGCTGGCCCCAGTTTGTCTTACTGATAACAACCGCTGATGACGTGATTTACTGAGAAAGCACATGGGATGGGCTGCATCCGACGTTTTCTTTACATGCACAACCGACAAGAAAGCAGACAGTGGCGCACTTGGCATGGCCATCTCAGAACACCTCACTCACTCCAGATCATACTGAGTTACTTTTATTAGGGCAAGTGTGTGTACGTCCTGTGACTGATTTCACTTGCAAGCATGAACAGTGAAGTGTCTCTCTCCTACGTGGGCCGCTCCCGGGGCCTGGTCACAATGTGCCACCACAGTGGGGGCAAATCGCCTTCCTTCCGGGCAGGGGGCAAAGCTTCAGTTTTAGGACCACCGGGTGGGGTTTCCTCCTGCAGCTGCTTAACCTAGAAGGGACGAGGAAGGAACAGTTACCCAAGCAGTCCAATTGACCAGAAAACCTGCCTGTTGCAGTCAGTGGTATGTCAGTTTTATTCCTATGGTGTGTCAACTCACACACCATCTGGGCCTGAGGACTAAGAGCTGTGTTTTTTAATAAGATAATACTTCAGGAAGTTTGTGGAAGAATGGAATTGGAAGCTGATGCACATCTTCCACAAACTTCCTTGAGTACCCTTGTATCAGCACCTGCAGCATTTTCATACCTGCAGTTTACTCAGGAAAAATTTTCTCCTCAAAGCAGGGGTGGGGAAGCTTTTTTCCCCCCAAGGGCCACATGGATATGTATACCATCACTTGCCGGCCGTATAAAAGGATCACTTGTAAGCACTAGCCTGAGTCCCACTTGTGCCTGCCCTGGCAGGGCCAGAGCAAATGATTCTGTGGGCCTCTTACGGTCCACGGGTCAGACGTTCCCCACCGTCTTAAAGGGTCCCCATCCTTAAGGCGGCAAGGCTGACAAGAAACCCTTTACCCTTCCTCTTGTTTAAGCCAAAACATGGCCCCCCACTGCTCTGCCTAGACGTGCATTTATCTCTGTGTCGAAGTGCTCTTCCTAAAACCACCATTAAGAACCCACAGCTCCCATGTACACATCAGGGAGTAACTGGAAAGCTGCCTCCCTACCCCTGTCCAGCCACCGAGACAAGAATACCATGAAATCACGTATGAAAACTGGCAATTCTGCCTTTCTGCCGAGCTACCCCTAGTTCAATGACCTCCAAGAGCAACGTCCTCACACAGGAGGCAGCTCTAGAAGCAACCACTGTGGCAGAGCTGGGCCTCCAAACGAGTGCTGCGAAGAGCGCTGAGGAGACGGAGGAGGGAGGAGTGCTTGCGAGGAGGAGGCTCCTCAGGTGAGCCACTGCCGGGTGAGCCGGCCACTCACTGGGCAGACGCTTCAGCCTTCCAAGCGCCGAGACATTTCTTACTCTACAGTACCCGTGGGCCACGGTGACTTTCCCTCCCTCCCTCCCCTCCCCCTTGGTCACGGACTTTCAACATCCGCATCCTGGACCCTATCACCAGGACCAGCACAACTTCCAAAATCATGCGTCACATGTCCGCTATCCGATCATCACCTCCCCTAGCCGCTCATTTGCTTGCACGCCCACCTGAAGCCGAGAGGCTGCCAATCGCAGGGCCTCCCTCCCCACTCGACCTCTCCATGCAGCAGCCTCCTTGCTCTACCCACTGCTATGCCATCGTGACAACCAGAGCCTCTTACAATTCTCTGTAGACAACTGGCAAACTGTGCCCCTGACCTTAGCCTGTAGCCATACCGCTTAGTACTGCTAACGCGAAAATGCTGAAAAAAGCTGGCGTCCAGTGGGCCTTCACCACCCTGGCGTCCACTACTCTCCAACAAGCTCAGATCACTACAGGCTGCACCCACTCCTACTGACTTCTCCTACTTCTGCTCAAGAAACACAAGCTATCACAGAAGCCTGTCAGTTTCAAAACTTGCAGCCCAAATGTATTCACAGAAGTCTCGTGTCCAATTACACGGCAGGAAGAATTCCTTCTCCCTTCTTTCTTTCTCTATACCCTCTCCTAAGGAGCTCAAACATTTCGAGGGCTTACTCACTTATATTAAAGGTCTATTTTACTGATCTGGGCTTCCCACGTGACTCACGGGAGCCCGCACTTACACCATCACCTGCGGCCTCATGAGTGCATTAGCAGGAAGCTGGATCGGAAGCGGAGGCGGGGCTCAGCCCCACGCACTCTGATGGGATGCAGGGCATCACACGTGGTGTTTCACCTGCTGCACAACAGCCTGCCCCTCTAGTTTTTAAAAAAACAAAAACCTAATACATTTCTATTCCTAGATTAAATCTTTCCTTGGAGTTCCAGATTGCGACACCAAGTTGCCTGCTGATCAGACTCCCAAAGTGAAGGCTTGATTGTCTCTCTGACCTCCCATCCTTCCTTCCCTATCCCCGTCACCACCACCACCAAACTGCAGATGTTAACGCCTAAAACCCAGAAACCTTGTCAATTCCTCTGTCCCTCCCCCATCTGCCACATCCAGATAATCTCAATGTACTTTCAAAAGACAGCCTGAATCCATTTCTTTCCATATCCACCCTAGTGCTAGACACCGTAACCTTTCAGCTACACTACTGCAAAAACCCCAGATCGGTCTCTTCCCTGGGCCTCTCCAGTACAGTAAATATAACTCTGGGTGAGCACCACCTGGTAACTCGTGAAGCTCAAGGGAGAGGGAGGTACAGCAAAAGCGTCCAAGGGCTAAGGAGGGGAGGAAGCAAACAAACGAGGGAAGACATCATAACCCATTTGTAAGACGGCAGGAGGTGGTAAGCTGGAGACAATTAGAAACTCCAGTATGTCGGAGAAGCAAGGGGCCAGGCCTGGAATCCGTGTATCTGCCCACAGGACCAAAGCCCTGTCCTGTGCTGACCAAGTGCACGGTGAAGGGCAAGCAGGACACACCTCTCGTTCCCAGCTTTCTCTCCGCAGTTTCTTCCACTGCTCTCTCTTGGCAAAGTAGTCAGGATACATCGCCTTCTCCGAAGGATGCCAGTAATCTAAGCACCATTCCGGAACCTGTCAGGAGAGGAAACCATGGCGTCACTGCACAGGATATGTTCACACGCCACTCACAGGGCCTGCTTGGGAGATAGGAGACAAAATTCAACTTGTATTTTTATAACTTTTGCAACGAGTAGACTGTGTCTGGACCTAAGCAATGAACAGGGACCAGAAAGAAGGGAGGATACTTAGAGTGAAAGTGCCTACTCCTATAAAATGGCAGCAAGGCCAGTCCAAAGACAGTAGCATCATTCCTCCCCTGCTTTTCCCAAATACTCCCTGTGGGCTTATGTTAGTGGAAGCATCGCACCATCTCAGAAATACCAAGCACCAACACAAGTTGGTGAACTTTAAGGTCTCTGAATGAATTATATAGCAATAATTTGCCACAAAGTACGATGCGAGTCCTTGCAGCTGAATTTAGAAAGAAAAATCTTTAGACACCTGGGAGAGGGGAAAACAAACACCTTAGCTAAACTGAGAAGCGCCCGGAAAGAAATCTCGGCGCTACCCCTCAAACGGCAAGCTGTTCAGAGGCCGGGTTTGGGGCTGAGAAGCTGGGTGTGCGTCTCAGAAGGCAGGCACCTACCTTGTAGCACTCGTATCTCTCATAGGAGGTCCCCCCAGGGGAGTCGGGGAAGATGTACGGCTGCGGGTGCTGATTGCACCAGAACTCTTCCTCTGCGTCCCTCAGCAGCCGGGTGGCCTTCATCATATCCTTTTCATTCTTATGTTCATCAAACCGGGCTCTCAACAAGCAAGCAAAGTACCGGTACTTGTCCCTTAAACCAGAGTGAGTGGAGATTAGGCATGTTACCTACCAGGGGGAGGTTCCTGGGTGACAAGAGGCTGTACTCTGGGAGCAAGGGAGGGCTGCCGAAGACAGTGAGTGGGCAGGCACAGCAGTGCAGGCGGAAACACCTCTCATGTCTGTAGCACAGGAGCATGACCGTGGCTGACAACAAGTGAGTACTAAAAGCACAGAGGATTTTGTATGTTCCCAACACAAAGCTGCAAGCCCGAAGTTACAGATAGGCCAATCACCCCGACTGTAACATGATGTATGCGTGTACCGAAATACAGTATTACACTGTACTCTATAAATATGTACAATTAGGATGTG